GTTTCCCACTCATACGAAATTGACTCTATCGTTATACATAATTGTCCTTGGAGGAGATTGTTCAATTTTACGAATATAATATGAATTTCTATAATATATGGATTTTTTTATTGATTTTATTAATTAATTTTTAATATGTATTAATCATCGATATTTAAGATCTAGTTCTATGAATCATTTTGCATATCWCGTTATAATATTTATTTAACAAATGCAATTTTATTAAAATGAATTTCAAATCTGTTTTTTTTCCTACTGATTCTTTAAACTGAAGAGTATTTTAATATTTAATACTTATTTTAATTCTTAAAAGAATCATACCCATGTACCAATCCAATGTGGTCCATCGAAAACTGATTGGATTAACTAATGTATAGCCGTCTGGGTCTTGACCTYACTGATCTCCTTGGTAACAAAATGAATAGAAAATCAAAATTGGAACTCGGTGAAAGATATGAGCAAGTCCTCGTGAAACATCGCATGACGCTACGTGGCATTCGTCACTTGCACACTAAGCACCAAACAAGCTAACCATACAGTGGGAAAGAGAATATCGTTGGCCTTTATGTATCATATTTTGCATGAATATTTCGAAAATCTTTTATTGTTTCACTACCATCTTCTCCTCCTCCTTACCACACCCCCTTCTCTTCGCCTCTTCCACCTCCTCCCCCTCTGATCCCTCCTTCAGTTCTTCTACATTTCCTCTGTATTACGGCAGCTATATATACAGGCTATATTTTACCAAGCATAATTATAGTTTTCGAACACTTCTAACATATTCCTGMAGGACTTCCTGCTAGAGTGGATTTTGTATGACCGGCAAAGGCACTCGGGATCACGGCAAGACACGACACGGTCACGGAACCTCGCCATCGGTAGTGATGCTAAATAAACGGTACGGTACGGTCACAAAACGAAAGTGCCTTGTTTTCGCACAGTCATACAAAATGCATTCTATATCTCGTTTATAGAGCCAATTTTCCACCGTATAAATCATAACGAGATTTGAGTCTGTCACGAAACACGAGACCTTCAAAGGCGTGGTCGGACCCTGTTTCCTCGTCTGTGTTCCATCCATCGTAGAGGCTATCATTCAAGGCTAAAGATAAAGATCGTCTAAATACAACCATCTATTTTTACAACACTTAAAAATCTGCGTCTCAGATAAGGCGTTGAAGTTTTTGCAAGCATTCCTAAAATTCATTTGATAAGCAAGATCCAATTTCTGGAATGTTCATAAATGAATCGACACTCAGATAATTTTGAATCTAATCCTTATAAACAAAATAAAAATCGTTTTTTTTTTCTGATAATTGTTTTAGGTTTTGACCTGCTATTCATTCGGGGGAGGGGTAGGGGCATTTTAGGCTTGTCAGAAGTGTAACTTGTGCGCATGCTCAGTGTGGAGATACACAAAGATCAAAGTGTTGGCTGGGCGTCGTTAGAAAAACTCTATCAAATTCCTCAAAACGGGGAGGATTTTATATAATAATGGATTACACGGCTAGATGGAATCTATTTGAACATTGAGCGAGCTCATGGTGGCTAAAAATGGTTTAGAAAATTCTGAAATCATCTACTTTTCACAAGCAGTTGTGCAAAGCGAGCAACTAGTGAGAACGAAGTTACTGCACAACATAGCGTAAATAAAGTCTACATACATCGCAATGGCTGACAGAGCTTGCAGGAATTTTCAACCCAACATGTTCAACAAGAACAAGTGTCAGAATTGCTACAAACTTCAAGACGCACATAGATCTTCGCAAAGTTCTATGGACACGGCTCCGAAAGCACACAACGTAGAACCGAAGTCTGCAACTAGCAAATCGTACACCGCAGCCACTTTCAAGGTAATGTTTGTTTAAAACATTCTGTTTTGTTTTTGTTTGTGTACTAGTTGTATTTAGGCTCATTGGCGCTCACTGTTCTGCTATTTAGGATATTTTCTTTTTCTTTTATACAGCCAAATGCAAGCAAAACAGTCGTGAAGTCTGGATTGCTCTCTGTTCTAATCGCCGATTCCAGAGACCAAGCCAGAACTCAAGAAAATGTGAGTGAAACTTGATTTTATCTTGTCGTCGTTTGTGGTATTTTCAAGGTGTTCACAGGTTTTTATCCTTTTAGAAATGGAATCGTCGTTGGGTGGTATTGAACGCTACAGGAATAGTTGATCTGTTCGTTTTTGATGAGCTAAATGTGAGTACAAACTCTTTTGTTTATTATATATTTCAGCAAGTTACAACTACATGTAAAAATCTTTGAACTAGAATAATMAACCAAGAGAAACCAGCGTTTTGTAGCTCGCATTTAAAGCACACCAAGCCATCTTTAAGCCGCTATAATATAACTCTTGAAAGCTGAGCCCTCAAGCTGTTTTCGTGCCGGTTTTGAACGTAAATTTACCGGTGTCTGAGGCTCTCTCAGAAAAATGCACAAATGGCCTTCCAAGGTCGAGTGAAAATTCCACACAAACTTTCCCAAAAGTTGTGTCAATATTTACTTTAGTGACTCGATAAAATTCATTGCTTCGARTCTGAAGAAGAGTGATWTTTAGAGAAGAAAGCTGCTCTGTACAAGATAGCAATGACAAGGGGTTTATTTACAATTGTTTCTGAGATTCAAATGGTTTTATGTAAAAATGTATCAGGACTTTCAATCAGGCCTGCTAAAATTCTCATATGTTACAGTAATGTATTTTAGGGTCAAATGTTGTCTTTGWAATTAAATTAAATTTCCTTGAGGCAAAACCTTTTTTGGTCGATAAGTTTGTATGGTATGCTCGTTCTGCAGGGGTTGATGAAAGTATGTATCACTTATATCACAAATTTGATTTTTTTTTCTTCCTTGGCGTACGAAAAAAAATACTGAATTAACGTTATTTTTATGCCACGTATGAATTGTTTTATAGATATAGAAATTCAAGACATTTTTGCCAAAATATTCATCAAATATATGCAAATAGTTTAAGAACAATTTACTAATTGAGGTCATTAATCAGAAAGCAAACAATCCAATGTATGATAAATAAGTAGTCAATTATTTTTGCACATGACATCTATATGTTGTTATTAACACGAATGCAAAATGTCTACTACTGTTGGTGCATTTAAAAGATAAAAATTAAGAAAACCACCTTTCACAGGAGTTTGTTTGTTTTTTGTTTTGTTTGTTTGCTACTTTGTGCAAAAGTACATATCATAATATGGAAAAACTAATAACATTTTCTAAATCTGTTAACTATTTTGCTAACAGAATACTTCAAGTTAGTACAAAATCTAGTGTTTATTTAGTGCTCTTTATTTTTAAGTAATAATGATTATCAAGATAATGTTTCACAGACGTAGGATAGTGCACTGAAGAACAAAATGAGAGCAACTAAATGAAGTGTTTGGTTAAAAACTCTTTATTGCAAAGAATATTTCACGTATAAATTGCACCACTGTACAACAGATTATCATCTAATCTATTTACTTTTTCCCATAAATCCGCTCTATGTTACATTATAACAAAATGATATTTTATAATTACGTATTACATTATAATCCTTTAGTTAAAATTCACGAAAGAAAAGGCTGCCTATGCTTGTSTTTTTAGCTGAATTTTTACATTTTCATCTGTATTAAAAAACTATGCATTTTTGCACTTTGACTCCTATCCACRGAATTSCTGCAGTTTCTTTGCTAATCACTTAAATTTGTTTTGSTTGATTTGGCTTTTGTACTTTCAATTTTATCATATTAAGCCAGTGAGATTATTATATTACAGTACATCGATCTAATGTAGATATCATCTTAGTGTGCTTTCACAGTTCACAGCACATAACCATCCATTAGGAATTAATCCTGAGAACTGCTTCTACAGTACATAATTGTTGCCTCATTTATTCTTATTGTTCTCAGTTTCTGTGATTATTTTTTTGTTGTTCACATGAATTTTCCACTGTTCACAAGTCATTGCTCAAGTATAAATGACTTCCAGCTTGGAGAATTAATAATGAAGCAATGCTTTTGTGTTGTGGACAATAGCATACTTTCACTGATAATTAGTGTTATTCTCTATGGATTTTTTTTCTAACAGCTTAACATAATACAACTGAGTTGCTCTTTTATGTATTTTATAATGCATTCATAAAACKGGACAAGAAATTATTCTTGTTAATACTAGGTAAATCTTGAAGAACTAGACATGGTAGTGGAAAACTTTTAATTCAAGTAGCTTTGCCTAATTGATTATAAGTCTTGGGTTATCTCAATGCATAAGGCTTAGATAAAATTATTGTTTTCTCTTGCTTTCTAATGGAAGAAGGACTTTGTTGTGCAGTTCTTCTGTATCCTCAAATATCACATTAATGAGCTCATAATTTACTTTTCTCACACAACTTGAAGCCAATATTATTATAGCAAGGTGATATATATTGATCCTTTAAAAAGACGTTAACATAAATGCATGTTTGGTTATGGTTGACTTAATGCTATCTTGCGTTATCTCTAGCTTAACTCCTTGCGTAATTCTGCTCATTGTTTCGTCTTAATTATATAATAATCACTCTGAAATACCCTGGGGCACTGCAGAGATCTTAATAGACACATACAACAAAGTTGTTTTTATGTTTGCCGTTTTTTTACATTTTAAGCACTTTTATACCCAAACATTTTAACTTAGTTGCTACAATCTGTCAGTTGGCTAAATTAATCCAAAGATCATTTGCCTGCTTTAATACAATTCTCATCAAAATTCCTGTTATTTTTAGTTTCACCTTCAGATGGATTAGATTCTTTCTCTTGGCTAAGGCTTTTTTATCAAGGTTCTGTCTCTATAACAAATTCAGTTTAGGAATAGTCACAATCCTCAAATCTGAAAATGATAAAATATAGTTTAAAATGATGTACTAGATAGTTGTATAAATACAATACAGTGTGTGGATCTATTTAGAGTTCAATTTAGAAGACGTTTTGACCTACAGATATTCTTGGTGTGACCCCTATTTTAATGTAAACATTTGTAATTGTCATTTAGAGCAATTGTGGTTTATAGTTCATACATTAGAGATTCTGTGTGCAAAGGTGTACTCACACATATTTATTCATAAATTTTTATTCATTTTCCCATTTTTTCATTTTATCATCTATCTATTCAACCATCCTTCCATTCACTGTTTCACTTATTCACTTATTTATGTATTTATCTATTGACTAATCAATTTCTTTATTTATATCATAATATTTTATTTTTGTCCATTTATTTGCAGTCTTGCGCTTCAGAAGTTCTTGTACGTAGCATTAACTTGGACGACTGTACCAACATGTTTATGGCTGAAGTGGACACTGGTGAGCCATTATCGCACGGTTTAAACACTCCTGAAGCTACATATTACTTCAAGGCTGATGATCGCATGGAGATTGACAACTGGGTGCGTGTGTTTAAACCATTTGTACAGGCTGCATCTGCATATCCATTTCGTAGAGGAAGCAGGAACTCTGTTGGATCTCTTGATGCTGTTGATAAAACAGGTATATTGATGAATGAGTGTGAAGACAGATAGTCCTCACAGCCGTGTTTAGTTTCGGTCGCGTGTCGCGCAACCCCGGAGATGTTGTGTGACGGCTGCGAGGAGACTAGAAGACAGACGGACAAACAGTAATGCAGGCAGATGAACATAGTCCTTATTACGACCCGCGGAAAGCTTTGTGACGCAATACATTTTGGGATTGATAAATGAGTTAACAAAGGAGCAACGATGTCAGTGCTCCAGTTGTCTGTGACTCAGTTTTAACGAAAAATATTGGGAAATCTTGACATTGCTCGTTTCCATCCCTCTTTTCATATCGTCTTTAAATCATTGACCRATGAATCACTTGTTTTCAGGATTAGGCAGCACAAGTCTTAGTAGAGGACATAGTTTTGGAAAGGGTTCTAGTTCTAGGAGACCTACCACACCTCCACGGTCGTCCAGTACCTATGCACGCGGTAGATATGGCAGTGCAGAAGCAATTGATAAACAACAATCGGTATGTGCCTTGATTAAACGTGTTTAAACTCAAATGGAAAGGGATATGGGGGTGGGTGGGTGTTGGTATCTGTGAATGGGGGYTGGTTTGCTGGRTGGGGTACAGGGAGAACATAGCGGTTGAAATCAGTGCGTTCGTCTCGTTTAACGTGCGAATGRATGATCACATATACCAWCTGAGTTTTGTGTTMCCGTTTAGCTTTAGAATCGATAAAARWTGAAATCTAGAAACACAATAGMCTTGGGATACGTTTGGTCGCTTTTAAGGGTGAAACYTCATCGCTGTCAGATCCATCACCTCATGAATCGGGTCCTTTATCGGCGGGCATTCCACCATCCGGTCTACGAGTGGTAGGGGGGGATGAAGGGAGGATTACTGACTCCAAAAAAGAGAGTAGCTTGATTAGATGCATGTATATAAACATTTATTATCGTGTTTCTACTAAAAGTATCAGTACATTKAATACAGCCWTTTCTTTTAGGCGGAGTCACTCAAGATTCAGCTCGAAAAGCTACAAGAAGAGAACAAACTATATAAGCAAAGTCAGACGACTTCGTCCAAACAACGCGAAGCAGTGCACATTCTCGAACAAGAACTCAAAACGAAAACTAACAAAATCAAAGAACTTGAAATGGAGCACTCAAAGTGCAAGGACTTTCAGAAAGCCATCATATTYCAGGAACAAGAATTGCAAGACTCTCGTTACACCATCAAGGATCTTAGACAACAGCTCGACGAAGCGGAGAAGAAGTCTAAACAACAAAAAGCCAAGTTGAGCTTCCACGCGAAAGAGTTAGCAGAGGCCAAGGCTGACTTAGACGAGKCTAACAGCATAATAAGCATACACAAAGCTAACATWGAATCCCTTAAGAGTGAGCTCACGACTGTGAAGCAAGGRGTTACAGACCGAAAYGGTAAAGTKATTCTTGCTGATGAAGAACCTGAGAGTGACCGRGTYTTTAGCTTCGATACCAATGGTGATCCTGAGGATAGGAAAGACATCGAAGGAAAACTKAAGTTCCTTGTTCAAAAGCTCAAACAAAACGAACGAGAGTTGATGATAAAGACTAGAGAACTCGAGAAAGCAAATGATAGTCGCTCAAAAGTAGCGAAGTATACTCGCTCATTGTTGCAAGAGCTGGAAACAAAGTTGAGCAATAACGAACGAAAGCTTGCTGAGACAGAAAATCAGTTGAATAATAGTGCGATAGAGCTTGAATACGAACAGGAACAGAGAGCAAAACTCGAGAAAGAYAACGAAAARCTACGAGATGATTTGGAAAAACAACAAGACATAAACAAAAAGGCGCGTTTCTCAGGCGACGCACTTGCTCTGATGCAAGAAGCAAAAACAGGAAAAACTCCAGGTTTAGAAGAGCTGAAAGAAAAACTCAACGAATCCGAAAAGAAACTCAGAGACGCAGAGAGAGAAATGAGTTCTTGTAAGAACAATTTCGAGAGTGAAATAGCCATTTTGAAATCCAAATTGAAGTCGTCTGAAGCTTTAGCAGATAAAAACGAAACAAAGTACAAAGATTGTAAAGCCGAACTTCAAATTGCGCGCGAAAAATCCATCGAATTAAGGCGTATGTCWCTAGAGACTGAAAACGAGGACAAACTACAACAAGTTATATCCGAAAAAGATACTCAACTGAAAGCTGCGAACGATACTGTGAGCAAACTAGAAAACGAAATTACTCTTTTAAATCAAAAGAACGAAGAATTGGATGTACAGTTTGATTCAATGGACGAAAAACTTTGTCAAAGCTTAGAGAAACAATTCTCATTGTCGGAGGAAAATGAAAAATTATTAAAGGATAAGAAAATGCTCAACAGTCGAGTAAGAACTCTACTTGACGAAGTTGCAGATCTTAAATTAGCTTTGAGCGATACCGTCGACGAAGCAAACACTGATTCGACGAAGACGAGAATTCATGAGCTGGAAGACGATTTGAATGGAAAGAATAAAGATTTACAAAATGTGCARTCGATATTGAAAGACAGGGAGCAAGAACTCGAATACTTAAAAATCCAGTACGAAGCAAGTACAAGAAACTCRGAGAAGGTCGACGAGGAGAAAGAAAAGGTTAAAATAYTAAATGACAAAATGGAGGACTTACAAAAAGCACTCGAAGAAAAGGACAATACAATCAAATCTTTGACAAATGACAATGAAAAGCTAGCGCAAGAAATATCTCTTTTGGACRCTTCGAAGGAAGAASTATCAGTTGATTCCAACCGAATTCAAGAGCTTGAGGAGCAGCTTGGTCAATATGAACTATTTCTAAGTACAGCTAAAGACACAATTGTTGRSTATGAGAAGAAAATCAATGATTTAAGTTCACRCAAAGATGAACTGGAAAACACTGTCAAAGAACTCARGAAACARWCGCGCTCTCTCGAATGCGAACTCGAAGTTTATCAAGAAAAATTAAAAGGCGCRGAAGAGCGCTTGCTGGATTATGAAGTAGAGGAAAAGCTATTGACTGCAGAGTTGCAAAAGTGCAAAAAGGACGTGGTTTCACAGGAAAATGAAATATCTGTCACWAATGTCAGTCTAGTCGARAGTGACCCCAATAAGATGGATGAGGGCAAAGAGGATTATGAGAAACTYTTCGCTGARAAGACAACTGAACTCATTAACAGCGAAAACAAAGTAGTTGAACTTGCTGAGGAGTTAGATAAACGGCTTAAACTCGAACAAGAAACAGCTGAGTGGATCGAAGATGTCGAAGCTAACTTGAGCAAGACCGAAAGCCAGTTAGTAAACGCGAGAAGTACGCTGTTAGAAAAGTCGAAAGAACTTGAGCGTGAAAAATGCAATATTCTAGATCTCGTTGAATTGTCCAGGAAATACATACGTGAACTTGAATTGTCTCTTGCAACAGAGAAATCAAAGGTAGAACAACTCGAGTCGGAGCTGAAGAAGACGTCAAGAGAACAACCACCCAAAGAGGCACTGGTGGAAGATTCTCCTGATGGAAGTCGGTGGCACCAAGAATCTTCGGTCAAAGAAATAGCTGAAAAACTCTCATCTTGTGAGAAGGAAAGAGACGCTCATAAAATCAAAGCTGACGACCTTAAGAAGGAGCTAGAAGACACAAAGCAACAGTTGAAAGAAAAATTAGATTCGGCTGAGAAAGCTCACCAAAAGGACATGAAAAAACTTAATGAAGAGACTCTCAAAGTGTCGGGAGCTGCTAAGACTGAAGGKGACGAACTTCGTCTTCGACTGACATCTCGAGTGATTACATTGCAGTCRGATATCAGTGAGCTGAARGCTGCCCATCAAACCGTCATTGAAAAACTTAAAGCAAGACACAAAAAGGAATTAGAACATGCTCGCAGGGAAGCTATTCTAGAACATAGTATGAAGCAATCATTCAGTGAGAGCGCTGAGGATCTCAACGCGTCCATGGTTGAAATGGAGAGTGAGATGAAGAACATGGTCAGCAGGTTAGTAAACGAACCCCTCTAAGTCGATCAACCCTAATAAGTCGAACAGGGTGTTAAGTGAACGAACCCCTTTAAGTCGATCAACCCTAATAAGTCGAACAGGGTGTTAAGTAAACGAACCCCTCTAAGTCAATCAACCCCAATAAGTCGAACAGGGTGTTAAGTAGACGAACTCCTCTAAGTCGATCGACCCCAATAAGTCGAACAAGGTGTTAAGTGAACGAACCCCTCTAAGTCGATCAACCCCAATAAGTCGAACAGGGTGCTAAGTGAACGAACCTCTCTAAGTCAATCAACCCCAATAAGTCGAACAGGGTGTTAAGTAGACGAACTCCTCTAAGTCGATCGACCCCAATAAGTCGAACAAGGTGTTAAGTGAACGAACCCCTCTAAGTCGATCAACCCCAATAAGTCGAACAGGGTGCTAAGTGAACGAACCTCTCTAAGTCAATCAACCCCAATAAGTCGAACAGGGTGTTAAGTAGACGAACTCCTCTAAGTCGATCGACCCCAATAAGTCGAACA